TTTCAATATTTAGCACGGAAGAGCCAGTCATATTGATTAAAATTTTTCTTTAATATTTTTTTTTTAAACGACTCGCAAAACAAAATTTAAAAAATACACGATAGTTGAATATCGACCGATTTTATTATTTTTACAAACTTATACCGAAACACGTGTTTGTGATGGGACTGGGCCCATAACCCTTGTTAGCGCAGTTAAATGAATTGAATAACACGACCGTTCGATATAATGCACTTTATTCGAGTGAGCAAAAGAATTCAATTAGAATGATACATAAGTAAAGTAGGATAAGAGAATTTGGTTTGCCCGTTACAATACAGGGTGATGTATAACTAACAATAGTTATAGCTGGGAATTTTAACAGCGACCTGCTTCGAGAAAGTAAATTATCAACAGAAATGGGAAACTTGGGTCTGTATTCTGCGAACTTTAAGACTACTACACATTTCACTCAAACCATCTGCACTCTAATCTATGACCAACTACCCGTTCCAAATTTTTCCAAGCACGATCTCATCTTTCTGACATTTGATTTCATGAACACTTGTAATGAGTTATCATTTTCATATCGTGACTTTCAACACATAGATTATAAGCAAACTGAAGTGGCTGTCGATGCTACCGACTGGGGATCCATCTACAACTTGGTTTCTTCAAACTATCAGACTAGTTTTATTCAGACCCATATTAATATACTGTTCGAAGAATTTGTCCCGCTCGTAACTAAATCAACCAGTGTTCGTAACCGCCCTTGGTTTAACAATTATATTAAAAAACTGATTCACAAGCGCAACGCGGCGTATGGCAAATGGAAGCGATCTAGGTGTGAAACAACCCACAGTGATTTCAAAGCTTGGAGAAGAGAAGTTACCAAAGCTAAAAAACAGCAAAAGATTAAGTATTATGAACATCAATTCAGCACAGCAATAGGTTTTAAAAGACATGGAAACGTATTCATGAAATCGGTATTGGTAACAAAAGCAATTATGTGTCGGAAAATTTGGATGTGAATGAGCTGAACAAAAAATTTGTGCAATTGTCCTCTGAGTGCTGCAATGTATGTCCTGAGAGGTATAATGATTGCTTGAATTTTACGTCTTCTGGTTTTTGTTTCAGGAGTGTTGATGATTATGAAGTTGTTCGGTCTAAACTTAGCGTCAAGTCGAATGCTGCTGGTCCTGATGGTATTCATCCTAAGTTATTCAAGTGCATTCTTCCTATGATTCTACCATACGTAACTTTTGCTTTGAATACCATAAAGCCTCATCATGTCGGTCTCCTTGCCGCTGGGGATGGGGCTTAAGTGATGCTATGTCAGTCATACTGGTGTGGCGGGCACAGCACCATGGACCAAGAGGGGTACTGGGTATAGGACTGGAGTCTGCCGCTGCTCACCCGTAGTTCGTGTGGCGGCCGTGGGCTGCAGCTCCCATGCGCAGACGCCCGCACCGACGTTCCCCCAACCCAACCGATGAACAAAAACAATAATAAAAACAAAAAACAAAACACAAACACAAAATTCTAAGAGAGCAGAGATGTCTCGGAAGACATCCTGAGCGTAGAGGAGGACGTGCTCCTCGCTTCCAGTCAGGACTCTGCACGCTCTTCGACAACAATACCGGTGAGCGCTAAGCCTAGCGATCCCGACAATACCCCATCTTCCTCAAAGGCAGCACTCCAAAGCAAGAAAGGAGGAAAACCAAGTTCTCGGGGGTGACGCTCAGGTCGAGGTACAACAGGGCTGTCTTCATTCTTGACAAGATAGACAAGAATGCAGCGGCCGGTACTGTACACCCCGAGGATGAACAAGACAGTCGCAGGTGCAATGAAGTGGTGGAGGAGTACAGGAGGTACCTTACTTCAAAACCAACCAAGAAGCCTGTGTCAGTCAAACGAAGTAGACCTAAGGAGGAGTCTACAACAGAACCAGCTGGAAAAAGGGCGGACACAAAACGCACGCCCCAGCAAGAAGAAACGTTGGCGAAACGACGGTACTGTGAGGTGGCCAGGGATCACCTTCAGGTCGCGCTTGTCGACGAAGCCACAGACAGCGGTAAGCCCAATCAGGAGAGGTGGGTCGAGATCGAGTCAAAACTCTCTGAATGGGTGGGCGACTACCTGTTTGAAAATCCGGACAACCCTATTCCAGGATTTGACTCCAGTGAGTCCCTGAGGGGTTGCCGGATTTTCAAATGTAGAGATGAGTTCTCTAGGGAATTCCTCGGTAAGTGCGTAGTCGAGCTCGGCAACGCCTGGGAGGGTTTGAAGTTCAAACTAATCCCTGCCGAGGAGGTACCTAGGAAACCCAGGGCCCGCATTTGGCTGCCGAAGATGGCTATGGATGGCGACAAGTTGATCCGCTTCCTGCAACGGCAGAATCCAGAAATACCCATGAGTGACTGGGTAGTCATTCGTGCAGAAAAGCCTCTAGAGGGCGCGCAGAGTTCTTCGTACCTTCTGAGGCTTAACGCAGAAAGTATTGGGCCATTGCAAAAAATGGACAACAAGCTGCTCTTCAGGGTGAGAACAGCGAAACTAAAAATATTCCGCTCCAATTAGCCGATTCCAGAGGCTGATATCGAGGATGCCAACCAGATGTTGGGCGATATGAACCTCAAGGTTACCGCGGACGAAGAGGTCGCTGAAGATGCCAACCAGGTGCTGGCAGGCACAGGGCCAGTTAACAATGCCGAGAAAGTCGATGAAGGTGGTCCAGGCAAATCTTAGGCACTCTAAGGCTGCCTCGGAAAAGCTCCTAGTCTTCCTAAGGGAGGAAGACATCGACATCTCGTTGATACAAGAACCTTGGGAAAGGGACCTAGAGGTTAAGGGACTCACTGACGCCCGCTATAACCTCTTCTACACTAGTATATCAGGTAAACCCCGCGCGTGTGTATTGGTTCAAAAACATATTAAAGCTTTCTTATGTTCCAATTTCAGCTCACCAGATACTACAGTCGTCAACTTGGAGTTGATGAATAAACAAAGCTGTCTTATATCATCCGTATACATGGCGCACGACAGGCCGTGTCCGCCACAGGAAGTCGTCACTTTACAAAGGCTAGCAGGAGCTAGTCCAGTGTTACTCGGCTGCGATGCCAATTCACGGCATACATTATGGGGCAGCTCGGAAACCAACGAAAGAGGTGAGTCGCTATTTCATTTTATTATTGATTCTACGTTTAGGATTCGTAATAGACTAGAATAGGTAGTACTCCCACCTTCATATTTTTTAGAACCTCTGATTTTTACGGTTGGGAAGAGGTCCTAGACCTAACTCTGCTGACCGAGGGGAGCCTAAAGGTCAATAAATGGAGAGTATCCGACGAAGAGACCCTCTCGGACCACCGTCGAATACTCTTTGAGCTAAATATTGCGGCGGATACGCCTACTACCTTTAGAAACCCTCGTAAAACAGATTGGGACTTATTTCAAAAGGAAAAGAATTGAAGAAACTACCAGTTGAAGACATTCCTACAAGAGGCGAGCTGGACGCCAAAGCGGACAGCCTGAATAAGGCCTTCGGAAAGGCCCTTACGAAGGCTTGTCCGCTGAGGTATGGCAAGAAAGCGCGCACACCTTGGTGGAATGAGAAACTTACAGCGCTACGGAAGCAAGTAAGAAAATCCTTTAACGAATGCTACAGGATTGAGGTATGGGACCTATACAGAGAGAACCTAAAGAAATACAAAAAAGCGATACGGGACGCCAAGGAGGCGTCCTGGAGGGAATTCTGCGAATCCATCGAGGATACCAAGGAATCTGCGAGATTAAGCAAAATCCTTGCCAAGGGGCACTCAGAGCCAACATATATAAAAAGGTCAGATGGTCCATGGACCGAGTCGGATGGGGAGTCGCTGGATATCCTTCTGAATACACATTTTCCAGGGTGCAAAATCGATGTAGTGGAAACCGATGCCCCAGAGCATATACCAACCCTCTCCGAAGACCTCTTAAAGGAGCTACTAGAGAGGGAAAAGATAAAATTTGCTATCTTCAGCTTCTTACCCTATAAATCACCGGGTATGGACGGAATACTACCAGTCATGCTTCAGAAAGCTTCTGAGATAGTCATTCCAGTCCTAGAAACAATTTTTAGAGGGTGCCTAATAATGAACCACGTTCCGTTAAGCTGGAGGAAGATTAAGGTAATTTTTATTCCTAAAGCGGGAAAACGGGGTCATGACAATGCTAAAGATTTCCGACCAATAAGCCTAATGTCCTTCGTGCTCAAGACGTTTGAGAGGCTGTTGGATCTGTATGTTAGGGACAAGACGTCCAATTTATCATGCTCTCAACATGCGTACTTGAAAGGGAAGTCAACGGAGACTGCCCTACATGAATTGGTACGTACAATTGAGAGTTCGCTCTACTATAAACAATTTACAATGGCGTCCTTTATAGACATCAAGGGGGCCTTTAATAATGTCAGTGTAGATTCCATCCATGAAGCACTTAAGGAAACAGGGATTGATCACTGTGTCCGGGCTTGGATAGTGTCTCTGCTAAGGAGCAGAGTAATACATGCCGAACTGGGGTACCAAAGCTGGGCCATATATGCAGTGAGAGGCACCCCACAGGGAGGAGTGCTATCACCGTTACTATGGCTCATGGTCTTAAACAAACTACTGGTAAAGATGGACTCTCAGAGAATCAAAGCGGTGGCTTACGCCGATGATGTAGCGATACTGGTATCGGGTCAGTTTCCTTCGGTCATAAGTGAAATTATGGAAAGGACTTTAAAGATAGTAGATTCCTGGGCCATAAGCTGTTCTCTTAGCGTAAACCCGGAGAAAACTGACCTTATGCTTTTCTCAAATAAAACAAAATTACCAAATTTTAATAAACCAAGGTTCCGAGGAACGGAACTGGATCTGTCAATGAAGGTGAAATACCTTGGAGTTATTTTGGATCCCAAACTTAACTGGAAACCAAACATTGAGGAGCGTGCTAGGAAGGCCACGGTGGCTCTCTATGCGGCCAAGAGAATGTTGGGCAACAGATGGGGTTTGAAACCAAGAATTGTGCACTGGATGTACACAGCTATAGTCCGACCCATAATCTCTTATGGGGCGCTGGTCTGGTGGCCAGCCCTTACTAAGGATTACGTAGTTAAAAAGCTAGGCGGAATTCAAAGGTCAGCAGCCGCTAGCGTAACAGGCGCAATGAGATCCTGTCCGAAGGACGTTTTGAACGTCCTTCTTGACTTATTACCTATAGATATCTTCATCGAGAATTCAGCTGCTAACAGCGCCATCAGACTGCGTGCCCTGGGGCTCTGGAAGGAAAGACCGTTCGGGCACGGTTCCATCCTAGACGCAATACCGTCTGAAATTAAAGCGCTGCCCACTGACTATATCCTGTCGAAGACCTGGGTTCACCACAAACCCCGCACGAAATTCCCAAGCCGCAGTGACTGGAATCAGGAAGATTTCGGGTACTTGCAGGGCTTAACTGTCTTTACGGATGGGTCAAAGATGGAATGCGGGATTGGTGCTGGGGTCTTCATTGAGCAATATAACCTAAAATTATCCTTCCGCCTACCAGACTATGCAAGCGTCTTCCAGGCCGAAACGTTTGCTATTAAGGAGGCTTTAACGGCCTTAAATTTAGTGAAATCGTACATTAGTGATCGTTCACAAGTAGAATGTGCTGGCAACATAATATCCAGCTATTTACCCATAACCTGAGGTGTTGCCCAAGGTTCAATTCTGGGTCCATTGTTGTTTGTGTTGTACATTAACGACCTTCATAATGTCATAAAAAATATTGGTTTGCATATCTGATGCAGATGACGTTCAGTTATACGTTAACCGTCCTTTTGCGTCCATTAATAATTGTATTACTTACCTAAATACCGACTTAGAACTCGTAAATAGGTGGGCATGCGATAATGGTTTAGTCCTGAACCCAAAAAAATCCCAGTGCGTCGCTATTTATAAGAAAAAGTTGACGACTTTATGGAAATAAAACTCAACCACTCTGTAATAAAATTTGAGGACACTGCTAGGAACTTAGGGATAATTTTTAATAGAACTCTGTTATGGAGTACCCACATTTACAATACAATAGGCAAGGTTTATGGCATGCTTCGATCTTTATGGACTATGCAACACTTTACACCAGTGAAAATTCGACTGCTTTTAGCTAAAACTTGTTTGTTACCAACGTTATTGTATGGCTGTGAACTGTGTGCTAGTTGTGACAGAGTGTCGTGGTAAACTTAATCCTATCTAACTTAACTATCCTTAACTATCCATCTGTGGAATGCTCTGCCATAAAATTAAAAGCATAAAACGCACACTGCACTTTAAGAACGAACTGTTACGCTATTTGTTAAACGAGAATTAGAGATGTATACCTGTAACGTCTATGTCTGTCCCTCGTCTTTATTTTTCCTTCTCTACTGTTTCTTCTTTTTATTTATTTTCCTTCTGATTAAATATTTGCCATATTGTGCGTATAGTATATAAGCTTTCTATTATCTAGACTTAAACATGTAATTATTTGCTATATTTTGGTTTAGTATATAAGCTTTCTATTGTTAAGACTTAAACATTGTAATTTAATCTTGTCACCTTACCTTTTGTTTACAAAAGCCGCCCTACCTAATGTCCCAAATAAATGCATTTACCGTGCGCAACAAAAATACGCCGGGCCAAACTAAGTAAACAAATATACGCACAAAAGGGAGATGACAAAAAACCAAACAACCGCTGGCTCAATGGAGACAGCGGGGTTGTTGGCAGGGGGAACAACAAGACAGTATACAGACTATTCAAACTAAATAAAATGCACTAGTTATCACACACAATAAATATGAAGCTACAAACACTAGGGTGGGTTGAAAACAAGACAACAAGATTTACTACCAAGAAATCGAAACAAAATAAAACCTTGTTTTTGGGGCGCACCCGAGGTGAGGTCCAACCACTACCGCCCGTGCTGCCGGGGATATCTTTAACCCGCCTGTATGACTGGGCTCAGGGTGCAGGATGCTAAACAGGATCGGAAAGGGAAACACAATAAGAGGAAGCCTGCCGACAACAATAACGCCTGAACACAGACACAACAAAAGAAAACGATACTTATCGGCGGTCGGTGGGCGTTCCGAACGCAGGGTTGCTCCTCTGGAATATGGCTCCCAAATTCGGAGCCGACTTCACCAGGCCTCGACTGTCGCTGCTCCTCGAAACTAATCGCTACTGCTACTGCAATCTAAGTGCCCCGCCTGGCACTTACTGAATTTTTATTCAATATAAAGCACTTCGCACTACACAAATTTATCTAATTTCACTGGACTACTGTGTATAAAAGCACTCGCGCTCGCAATAAGGATGTTGCCTTTCTCAAAGCTCGCTTAGAACAGCCCCGGCACGCAGTCGCGAGCCAGGCCGCAACGTAGGCACCGGTACGCAAACTTTTGGAGTTTCAACGCCGGTGTTGTTGGTGCCCGATCAATTGGCGCCGGCCCGATCATTCTAGAAGCGAATTGGGCGTTTTAGCGGTCGCCACCGCGGCGCACACAAACAACACCATGGACATGGTTGCCATCATACGGCGGACAACAAAAGTGCCGCAATAGGTGAGAGCAATGGCGACACCCCTATTACGGTCTTTCGCGTCATCTCTCATTCCTACATTCTTACCCTCAATCGGCACCGTTTTGGGGCGGAGTGCCCTAATGGAGACTTTTCCCCTTTGCGGTGGCGCTCCACCGACAAACAGCTATTTCGCTCAACTTGAGCTCATTTTGCTATTTATTTAGGTATGTACATTAGAATGCATCACTCCCCATACAAAAAAAAATCGCTACTATTTTTCCATTGGAATTATAAAATCTATTATATTTTAAGACGTCCACCTAAATATCTCGGAAAAATATTAAGATTTAAAAGAGCTGGACCGATTTGAAAATACCTCCAAAATGGAGTTTTTTATGAATAAAAGTTTTTTTTTGAAAAATCCCCTCAAATGACAAAACGGTTTAAGCTTAAAATAGTTGAATAAAAATATTTAAAAAAAATTAAAACAAATTTTGAACGGAATCGTAATGTTGAGATTTTTAATGCTGTTTTGTAACTTTTTTCAAAGATTGGTATAGGAAAAACTTGGATAACTGAACCTAAACTCTTCCAATGTAGGCTTATGCTGGATTTCCACTAGGCATTAAATGGCAAAAATGACAAATGACAAAGTCGGGTATTAAAAAAGAATCGTGTCATTACATTAAAACAATTGTCATTAAGTTCATTTCCACATGGCATTTTTTTAAATAGCAAATATTTTTCGTCATTTCAATGCCTAGAGGAAATTCGGCATTAAGAGGTGTCATTGGAAAGGTATTTTCTCACCCTTTTTAGTTCTTTTCTAATAAACTCATTCAAAGGATGGAAGAGAAAGGTAGGATGAACGAACGTCATTCAAAGTTGAATTAAGATGTGTTGGTATTCGAAAAAACAAGATGGGACACGAATGACGTTTTTTGGCCAGAAATAAAAACAGTGTGAAATTAGCTTTCTACTGAGAGTCTAAGTCTAAGTCTAAATCAGAACATTTTTGGCCCAGTTATTCAAGTTTTTCGTAAACCAATTTTTGAAAAAAGTAAAAACCAGCATCAAAAATCTCATTCTTACGATTCCGTTGAAAAGATTTTTAAAAATTTTTATGCAAATTTTTTAAGCTTAATCTAATTTGTCATCTGAGTCAACAGTTCTTTAGAAACTATTTTTATTCATAAAAAACTTAATTTTTGGTGGTATTTTCACACTTGAGTGTATTTGTACACTTGAGTGTCAGCAGACTTCACTCCTATCGGTTGGAGTGAAAGGAAATAGGTGAATAGAACGAAGGGGAAACAAATGTTTATTTTCTTGCGGCCAGTACGCGACAACCCCACCCCTTCCTCCTTAAAAAGAAAGCTTGCTTTCTTTTGTGAAATACCTATTTCCTAATTGTCCCTATATGGTCTAACCGCCTTCACGTTCCATGTCCCCTTAGCCTTGCCTGACTCGTCTACCAGGCCGTAAGTCAATGGCGACACCTTCTTCTTCACTATAAAAGGTCCTAAACATTTCAGCGCTAAATTCGCCGCGTAGTAGTTCGCTGCATTAGATAATACAAAATTTTTCCTCCAAACTAACTCTCCTCGCATATATTGCACATCTCTTCTCCTAAGGTTATAATTTCTTGCTAACTTGGCACTGGCCTCCTCTAACCTCACTCTAACGCTAGACCTAATCTCTTCGAGTCTCTTTGCTCTTTCTTCACAATTAATTCTCTCCTGCTCTCCTAACGACTCGATATATCTTCTACTGCCTTCCAACGCCATTTCCCTACCAAAATTTACAAAGTATGGCGTGGCTCGTAACACTTCATGCTGCGCTGTTCTAATACAGCACGCTACCTTTGCTAATTGCTGGTCCCAACTCCTTTGGTTATAAGATACGTAAGCCCTAAGCGTTGTCTTAATTATCTGGTTAATCCTTTCGGCCGGATTAGCCTGCGGGTGGTAGTGGGCGGTGTACCAGATTTGGGTACCATACGCACCGCAGAGCCCCCGCAGTTCTCGACTCCTGAACTGGGGTCCATTGTCGCAGACCACCGACCGAGGGACACCAAACAAAAGAAACACCTGTAGCTCGTTTCTGTAACAGTTCTCTACCAAGGCGAATTCAGATATGAATTCGCCGCCCTGTTCTGTACTGCTAATAAGTAGTAGAGAATGACGTATATTCTCTACCAATAGAAAAAAAATCGGTAGAGAAAAGTTAAAGAAACGAGCTACTGATCCTCTAAGCTTTTACAGACGCCCTTCGCCGTGCCAGTCCGTAAGGGAAACAACAGCGGAAACTTCGAAAAGTAATCCACGACCGTTAAAATATACTGTGTCGACTTCGCCATGGGCCCTATCAGATCAACTCATATCATTTCCCAAGGCTCGGTTTTCTTGGACCTCTCAACAAACCCCCCAGCTGGCTGTGTGTTATCAAGTTTCACCTGTAGAGAAATCATAAATTTTCGAACAGATTTCGCGATATCCACCTTCATCTGCGGCCAATAAAAATTGTGTGCAACCCTAGCGAAAGTTTTCCGAATGCCCATATGACCGGCCAACTGGTCATCATGACATTTACTCAGAATCTCAGCCCTCTCCCCTCGACCAACAACCTTTTTCCAATCCGAAGAATCACCGTAAATAGAGGGGAATTTCTAGAGGCAGCCGCCTTCTACTCTCCACGCTGGGTACGATAAGGGTCTCTTTTCTACAGACCGAATCATCTTCGACAACCAGGGGTCACTAGTGGAAACTTCAGCAACAGGCACACTACGGGACAACATATCCCGAACCACATGTTCCTTTCCCTTCCGGTGGACAATCTCCAAGTCATACTGCTGGAGCTTCAGCGCCCAACGCGCTAACCTACCAAAAGGATCCTTCAAGTTGTTCAGCCAAACCATGGAATAATGGTCAGTGACGACAGTAAACTTAGCGCCTTCAACATATGGACGCAATTTCTCGACAGCCCACAAGACCGTTAAATACTCCTTCTCTGTTGTCGAATAATTTTTCTCATTTTTATTCAGGGACCTACTCAAATATGCTATAACCCTCTCACCGTCCTCAAATCTTTGGGTCAAAACTGCTCCTATACCGAAATCAGACGCGTCTGTCTGGATTGTGAAAGGC